GAGGCTATTCTCACATCTTTTATAAAGGTATTAACATGTGTATCATGCAAGAGGCTATTCTCACATCTTTTATAAAGGTATTAACATGTGTATCATGCAAGAGGCTATTCTCACATCTTTTATAAAGGTATTAACATGTGTATCATGCAAGAGGCTATTCTCACATCTTTTATAAAGGTATTAACATGTGTATCATGCAAGAGGCTATTCTCACATCTTTTATAAAGGTATTAACATGTGTATCATGTAAGAGGCTATGCTCACATCTTTTATAAAGGTATTAACATGTGTATCATGCAAGAGACTATTCTCACATCTTTTATAAAAGTATTAACATGTGTATCATGCAAGAGGATATTCTCACATCTTTTATAAAGGTATTAACATGTGTATCAACTTTGAAATGTTGTGCCATTTTCGTGCATCAGTTAAAAATAAAATATTCAATTTCTTTTCAGCTTTTTATTATCTGTCTTTCAAACATCTACATTTAAATGTTAAAAACTGACCCTTGGGATTGTAGTCTCTCTTGATGATCACCTGCTCTGGTGTAGGTGGAAGAGGGGGCGGGGGAGCCTCCTTTGGTGGTGGAGGAGGTGGGGGTGGAGGAGCCATTCTTCCTCTATGAGGCTCCTCATCTTCATCTGATTCTTCTTCTGACTCTTCCATGTCCTTAAAATAGCCAAGAGAAAAAATGCAGTCTTCTCTCTCTCTCTCCCCATCATTAACTTATAAAACAAATTTATAATGAGAAATTAAAGCAAAAATTCCCAAGTTCATTACATTAAAACTTGCAATTTAAGCCCATCTTTCTTGTCCTTCCTCTTATACTGGGGAAAAACTGGCAATCTATCACAAGGTGTGAGTCCTGCTGAAGATTCATGCTGTGAAACTTTAAGTGTATCATTGGCACCATTGATCCACTGTCGGGGTGGTCTTCACTGGCCCTATTAATGTTTATAGGTCATTGGCATTCTGACCAGGCAGAAAACCAACTAATGTGCCGATAGGGCCAAAAACAGTGAGACTGACATGGCATAAACTATTTTTCATTTCCAATGTGGTCCCGTCTCATTTTAGCAGCTGCTCGCCTTAAACATGTCATCTCACAGGAAAGATTTTTAACCAGTTTTATTCAGATCCCAGGTCTGCACTGGTAAATAAGGGTTGGAATGACAGTGGTGTTTAGCCTGACCTTCATCTTTATTCTTGGGTGTATTAGTAGTTGTGTTGTTTGGTAGCTGTCTGCTTTTGAAGGCTAACCTTTATCTCACTATCTCTCTCCCCCCCCCCCCCCCCNCCCCCCATTTTAACTTGTCAAAATTTTAATAAATTTCATTTAATTCGAAAAATTACCTGAGTTGTATTCTCAGTCTGTTGCCTTCCTCTGCCAAGTTCTTGTTCATCGTCATCTGATTCCTCATCATCTTCCTCTCCTTCAGATTCAACTTCCATCTCAACTGCATCATCAATCTGAAATGAGAATTTAATGCTTTAAAGTGTAAAAGATGCAAGAACACTATAAATTTACAGTTATGTTTTTTCATTATAATAAATGATTTCCTTGCCGTAATTGTTTATGTCTATATTTTAAAACTCAAAGTAGTATCACAATAAAAAATAACATTATCAGAATGAAAATCACATGACTACCACAATTTTTATACTAGAGAAAACTATACATTTTTACTTCCATATTTTGTCAGCTTAAGATAAATACATTATACAGTGTTTGACTTACAGGTATTTCTCCTCTGACAAATCGTTCCATCTGCAAGATGCGCGCACCCACTTCCTCTGGTGTAGTTGGCGGAGGCAGATTTCCTGTTAAGGAAAAAAATTGTTATATATTCACTAGAAATTTTAATTTTTGTATGCGATTCATTTGCTTGTTTAATGTCAAGATAATCAAATAAAAATCTTCTCAGTGTAAACGAAAATTGAAACTTTTTTTACAGGGCAAAAATTTGAATTTTTTAAAATAAAAAAATAGAAATGATTTTTTTATTAGATAAATATTACCCGAACAGTGGGGTCTGCAAAGAAACAATATCAGACTCCATGTTTATAGTTAAAATATCATGAAAATTGGTGTTGCCATTTATTGCAGACAATAAAAAATGAAGAATGGTGTGAATTTTAATCTCTTTTCTTTTAATAGTGAATATTGAAATCAAAGTCTACAATAATAATGTCATTCTACAACCATGATCACAATGTTCTGTCATTTCCTATTTAAAGGCCTTACCTATCTCTGTAGGTTGGAAATCCACTGTTTCTACAACAACAAAATCATGCCAGTCAATCTGAGCGTAAGCCACTGTTGGAAAAAAAAAAAAATTCAGTAAATTTAAAAAAAATCTTTATTGAAAATGATTTCATTAAATGTCTTTGCAACATGTAAACTGGATTCTTTGTTTAGAGGTTTTTAATATGTAGATTATCCTATAACTGCACTGGGCAATATGTTAGCCAATGACAAAAGTAATAAAGCGTTCATTTTTTCTTATTTATTATGTTGATTTGTTCTGTTTACGCTTTGACTACAATGAAGGCCATGATCTAACTTTTTATTAACCTTATTTAAGCTATGCCAGAAACTCATTAAATTTTTAAAAAATTTATATTAATTATAGTTATACAATATTACTACAATAAAGACATAATCCAACCATAAAACTATAGTAAAAATGTGAATTATTTTAAAGAAATATGGCCAGTTCAGTATTACCAAATATGTAGAAAAAAAACAAAGCTATTGCCCATCACTGCCTGCACAACTCAAAATGCAAGGCAGGCCATAATAACTTATGAAAGTCTTTCGCGGGCCAAAAGAAAATAGGACTGGAATTGTGCGGGCCAAAAGAAAATAGGACAGGGGGAAAAGCTATTAAGAAAATAATTCGAGGGCTGCAAAGTGAGTGCTGGCGGGCTACAAGCGGCCCGTATGTTGTGCAGGCCTGCCCTAGAACATTTACCTCTTTCCTTCTCCAAAGCCTCCTCCTCTTTTTTCTTTTCTCTGTCTTGGTGCTTGGCCCATTCCACCCTGTATCTGACTTGATCAAGGATCTGAACAGAAAGGATTGTATTCAATTATTTTAGAAAGGGAAGAAAAATCTCGGCTGTCCCTTAATAGAATTTTTGTTTACATTTTAGTTTCATACACTTTGTTATATAAAACATTTTCACCATAAAATTAATTGGTGCTTTGAAGAAAATATCAATATTAAAACAGTTTGCAACAAAAATAAATATAAGTTTCCTGATTTATTAAGTTATACCTCTTTTGGATAGTTCACTTCCTTGTTCAGTTTTTCCTTTAAGTTTTTTGGTGGAATTAGAATCTGTTAAACAATAAATATACAATATAATGAGTGACATTTATGTAAGGAAAAAAATAATTTGATAATTGACTTTATCCCAGAATGTGTAATTTCTACATTTAACACAATAAATTAACAATAGATGATGAAATTATCAAAGCCTAGAATGTGTTATATATTTAGCTGAGCTACATAATAAACATTTTGACTTAAATGACCAACCTTTGTGTACTGCTCCACTAACTTTGTAAAGTAAGTAAACAAACTATGCTGGGGCCTCAAGAAGTCAAACAAATAGTTTCTTTGTTCTTTCTGCATCACAGTAGTGAGAAATTGGCGGCCATTCCTGGCCACAAACTGAGCTGTCAGTTTTACAACATCTCTGAACAATTTGAGAAAAAAATTATTTGTAAGAGTAACCGATGAACGAAAAAAAAAAAAAAAATTCATAGCTTATTTAACTATCAGATAGATTATAAAATAATAAGTCACTTACAAGTCATAGGCAGATATGGAAGGGGGGTCACACATAAATTCATATTCTGGTGGTGGATCTTTTGGTACAAAAGTCTCTACAATTTTGGGAGCCTCTTGAGGACGCAGTACTCCAAGGTACTGATTATTGAGCTGAATGAGAAAGTGATACGTAAATTAAACAAAAAATATCTGTATAATTTTAAGAGACTTTAATCATATTTTCTATAAAAATTCAAAACTATTGATAAATATTTTATGGTATGCGATTGTTAAAAGGTCATGAATTTACCTTAGGTGCTTGAGGTTCTTGACCTGTAAAAATTTAATAGAAATTTTGTCACTTAAACTATTTTGTTTATTTATCTCTATAAAAAAAATAGTAAACTGCCTCTATCAACTGTTGCAAAGGATATGTAACAGCTACAATGTTTAAATTATCAAATTTTTTAAACTAATTAGCGTAGAAAATAATATTTATCCAAACCATTATAAAACTACATATTGATTCTCAAAACTTTATAATAACCAAAACTTTGTCTTTGGTTTGTGTGTAAATGACTCATATTATTTTTTTTAATCAGTAGAAAATAAAAGATGTTATAAGGTACCTCTTCCTTGTTTGAACTCTTCAACTTTATGTTGGTAGTACCCATGATAAGCATCTGTAGGCTGAAGGAAGTTGAACTTTGGATTGTTCACCTCATTTTGGCGAATTCTGTTCTCAAATTCAGGCCCATTACGAGCAACAAAACTAGCAGTCTTGTCAACAATGTCTTAAAAATCATCTTAAAGAAAAGCAATCCAAAAATCTATATGTTTCTGTTTCTATATGAGTAATCCAGATCAAAATTTCATATAAGTCTGCCTGAAACTAAAAGCATATCATTCTAACTTGTTTGTAAAGCAACAAATCATCTTTCATATTTGTACAAAAAAAAAGAACGATTTTTTTGCACTTAAAATAACTTGAAAATAACCATATAACTTGTGATGGATGTTCTACAATGTATAAAATTACAGACTTTATAAAACATAATGAATAATTAATGCAAATAATCAATTATGACAGACGTGTAATCTATTATATGGTTAAAAGATTTGAAAATTCTCTTTAAAAATTTCATTTGAACTGGTTCAAGCCATTTATTTAAAACAACCAGGATCATAATGAAAAGTATTTTGAAAGGATAAAATAAAAAAAGGATGCCATTAACTATCATTAATTGTTGGGTATAAGAAAAGGAAAATAAGGGGGTGGGGGGTCTTCATCTGAGTTCCTTCAAATTTACCAGAATTCAATGAATTTTTTTGAGATAAGTGTTTAAATTTTAAAAATAATATCCATAACATTAGAGGAAAATCATAGAGGCTTAAATAAACATAAAAAGGACATTTATATAATCTTAAAACTCTTATTAAAAAATTGAAATTTCTATAAAAGTAAGAATTTAGAAAAAATATATTCACAGATACCAAGGAAATTCCCCAGGAAAGTATAGAAATATATAAAACTTAACTTAAATTTCCAAAAAGTTTTAGATCCCTTTGACATTTCCATAATCTTTATAACTACGTGGAACAATTTATAGAACTTTCTGGAAAATTATATATATTTAATATATATATATAAAAATTGTGTAAATAATGACTCTTGTATGCATCATTATTTCAACACTTAAACATCTAAAACAAAATGCTGTAACACTGGACGTCTTCCAAAAACCATTAAAATAAGAGTTCTGTCAGGGACCTGTTCTATAAGGTGAAGTTTTATTATCACTAAGATAGGACCCCTATATAATTCATCAGAAAAATAGTCAAGTTAAAATTTAAAGGTTGTCCCATTAAAATCTGTTGAAAATGTAAAAAATGCATAAGGAAAATGAAATTAGTGCCCTGGTCCTGACGGTGGTGAATATTATTAGTTCAGAACTCTCCAGTTTTTCAATACAGATTTTCAAGTGCATTTGTACCAAGGTTTGGTCTAGATCTATCCATTAATTGTAATTTAATTTATATAAAGCTCATAAAAAAAAAAAAGAAATATACTTTGTACTGTCCTTCTTCAGGTTTTTCCTGTACCTTGAGTATATTTCTTATTGCTTCAACCTGAACGCATTCCTCCCCATATTAATCCTATAAGAAAAAAAACTATGTCACATCAAAACGACAAATCAGCTCCCGACAAAAGGGCTAAAAAATGTTTATATGTTATGCCCCTCTCTCCCTCCATAACTAAAAGCATGTGCACAAAATAAATTTATCTAAAATTGGCGTGTATATTGGCTAGTTTTAAGAAAAATCAAAATTATGAATCCGTATTTGAATAAATTGAACTGGCGAATCCGGAGCGAGAGAATATAAAAACTCACGAATCCGGAACTGAAATATATTTAGCCTCACGAATCCAAAATAACCCGGAAAAGTGGAACCCCTGACCCTCACTATCATTTTTTTAGCATTCGTATTTTTTATTACCGTTATTCTCTCTCCTTCTCGGCATTGCTTACCTCTAAAATGCATACTGCTTATACCCCACCTTGTTTTGGTAATATAACCTTGTTTGAAAGGTTTTAAAAGTAACAATAGTTTTGAATCTTCGCGGTCACATGACAAGGCTGACTAACAAATAGCTCGTGCCACTTTGTTACGGCGGTCATGTGACTTGGTCACCGGACGAATTTCTCGAGATAGTATTCTTACGGCGGTCATGTGATTTCGTCGCCGGAGATAAACGTCTGGAGACACTGCCATTAGTTAAATAACATTGCCTTGATTTGAGTTAATGAAGAATACACATAATTTGACATGCCATAATACGAAATCCTATCAGAAATCATATATGCAAGATTACCCTAATATTATTATTAAGGCTGCGGTTATTCTGATTCAGGTTTCAAGAGTGAGGGGTTGGATTTGTTAAATTATATTTAAAATATTATTGTAGGGTTTGTAAGCAAATAAGTAAGATGAAATTTGATATCAAATAAAAGACAATTGAATTGACTATATGTAGGTACTTTGACACAAAATTTAAATATTGTCAAATTGCCATGAATGATACATCATTTTAAAGGGCCAGCTATAAGCTTTACAACAACACCAATTTCATCTTTCTATCTTTTATAGAAGTGGAGTTATGATTTTTTTGGTGATTTTTAAACACCCCCTTCTTTATCTTAGTATTAAACTGAAAAAACATGTGACCCACTTTCAAAATTTCTGCCTTATTTTAACCAAAACTTTTTGATTTTAAAAGATAATGCTACCAAATTTTCAGGAGACATTCTCAATGCAATATACAGTATAATAAACAACAAAACTTTTATATAACATTAAGACTTTTATTTTTTTATAAATTTATTTGTGGGTATGTTCAGAAAAAAGTGAACAAAAAAATTGGGAAAATCAATATTTATGCAGGAAAAAACGAAAAAAAAACCCCACCATATGTCCATATTTATTATTATTTATTGAATTTTAATTAATTTTATTATGCTTGTGTTAATTTTAAATCAATTATTATATTTATTAAAAGGTAAGTAGTCTTTTTTATTTATAAAATTGAAAGCATGGTAATTATAGATAAAAATTACTCAAATATCATCCATGATAATATGATAATGATGAGACTAATTCATTTAAAAAAATTATTTTATATATTAAATAATTGTCTATGTACTGCTTTTCTATGTCCTAATAAAAATATAATTGCTATGATGATGTTGTTTGAGTCTTGTTTATTAATTTGATGTATTTTAATAAAACTGTTATATTTAAATATATAGAACTTATAGTCTATGCTTGTAAATTGTAATAGAATTAGTAAGAAAAATTAAGCTTAGGCCTAAATAGGATTATAATAACAGTTGTTTATAATTATAACTGATAATGATAAGTAGGCCTAATTTTAGTAATATTCTCTGAAATAATTAATAAGAGAAAAACGATTATTATTATCGATATTACTATGTAAAACTATTAAATATTGATTCAATAATGAATGAACGATAAACTGTGTACCGGTACCCTACACAATTTTTAACGTAATAAATAAAACTTAAAACCAACCCTTGGTTACTATATAAACTTTTCAAGTTTGCTTATAATCTTTTCTTAAAATGATTCATTTTAAGCGTCTTATAATTATTTAGATGTTTAAGGATTTAACATTAACGAATAACAGTGATAGCAGCCATTTCCGGCTTCTCGGTCAAAATAAAAAAAATAATGATAATTTCATACCCCCCACTTATTCGCGGGTGGCATAACTTTTTATCGAGACCTCAACGATAATAACTCAAAAAATGAAAAAACTCTTACAATGAATGTAGATTAGGGAGCACTAAACCTTATTTTGGTGGCTTTACTAGTAAAAAAGTATTTATGCGATTTATATACTAACCGAGTCATCATAATAATACTGCCCGTGATGCAAAAAAAATATCGTAGCATAAATCAATATATGACCGGAACACAAAAACTGATACGTCAGTGATGAGGAAAGCAATTATTTAATAAACAAAGGTGACGTAGTCTGCAATTTTCCAATGATACTGTGTTGCTGTACGCCATATTGCAGAACACGTTTTTTCGACATTTTAGGTCATGCGCAGAACGGTGCGTGGACAAGTATTGTTATCCCTACTATATGATTATATGTTTTTAAACTTTCTTCTTCAGTTTAACTAAAATAAATTACCAAAAATGACATCCGAATAGCATTTAGTCTAAAGGGACCCGGGTACGCACCGCATAGACGTAGCCACTTCGTATTATTAATAATATGATCGCCATCTATGAAATCATGAAGTTATCGATAATAGGAATGTTTAAACGTTATTGTGATAAAATAAAGGATACTCCTCACTTCAGGGGGTGGATAAATTATTCCTATAGAAGGTTTTGTTGTTGGAACTTCTTCGGTTGTAAGTTTGCCATCTTCAATAGGCGTTTGTATTACGTCTATTGATGGCATTGTTTATCGCCTTAGGTTATCGTCCTATTGACAATTTTGTTTAAACCGGAAGTCCATCTAAATCGTGTTATTGAACGAAAATGAATGCCAGTCAACTCATTGCCTGTTAAGAAGTGGATTCACTAAAATATGAGTGCCGAGCCTCCCGCTTATTTCAACGGATGATCGAATTGAAGATGTCGAGGGATAATAATTATTTATTTAAGAATTCATAGCAAAATCAGGCCTTTATCGATAGTTTATATTTTTAAAAATAGTATCAAGTTCCACTTAATTTTCAGTTACTTTATTTAAAAAAGAAATGTAGAAAAAATTGAATAAACTTGGTAAATAGTTTATTAAAGAGATGTTGTTGCTCTCTCGTTAGCTAATAAATTTAGGTTGTCAGAAAAGGGTACTATTTTTATTTTTAGCTCCATTTTTCTGCTACCAATTAGTTTCTATATTTATTTATTTTTTAAACTGAAAAGCTACTTTACACAGGTCATTACTATTATATATTTTAGATATTGTATCCCCTTGTCTACTTAAACTGGGTATTACTGCCCAAGATCCGTTGGTAGTATTCAATCCCAAGATTTCTTTGATATCTTTGATTGTTGTACCATACGAAAGTAGGTAAATCTGAGACTAAAAGACATTGGGTGAATTTTGGAGACCCCTGCCACTTTTCAGTTTGTGCCCCGTACATTCAAATTTGATAGTTTAAATTTTAGCACTTTAACAACTTTGGGCCACTTAAATATCATTCCAAATTCCACACGACGCATCGCTTAGCTTAGACTCTTTTTTATATCTGGAAGAGATTTTTTTTTAAATTATAAATTTATGCCATCACGTAAAATCTTTTCCTACCAATTTCCTCGCATATCTTTAAATCAATTCATCCTATTATCTATAAAATTGAACACTTTTTTTAGTATTAGAAAATTAATAAGGATAATTTTTTTGATTTGCATTGTAAAATCGTACTTCACAGACATATTAGATTGAAATTGTCTGATATGTGTCAATTTCCATTGAATTCATGGAAAAAACTCACTCTTTTTTATAGTGACATTTATCATGTCCACTTGTCTCCACTTTACTGTGTCATTTGATATAATTACTTGGTTCTCAGTTTCTTTTCACCTGTACGAGATTCTCCCAATTTCATTACCGGAAATATTGATTTCTCAACGGTTGGGAGATGAAAACTAGTTTCAGCAACAAATATTGTTATTTTATAAATACCCATTCACGGTCGTGAGTTTGAAAGCCCTTGGGAAAATTTGGTGGTATAATCTTTTTGGTAGCTTTAATTTTCTCTCCTTTTAACGAAGATATCCAGCTGCTTTATTACTTATAAAGCGCTAAAGGCATTCATCATCAACCGTTTTGAATGAGTGCAGACAGCCCAGGACAGAGCCAAGTGGAGGCTCAATCTCATGAATCTAGAAGGATAGCGACAGCTGTGGCACGCAGGCTAGCCCGAAAAAGCAACCTTAGACCACCGACTGCAATTACAGCAACTATCGCCTGCCCGCGGTTCCGAACGGATCGGACTAGCAAGCCACCAATGCATTCATCGTGGACGCACCCCTCCCCCCTCCCGGATGACTAGATGGCCTTTGTCGATCTTGATGGACGAACAAGAAGAAAGAAGAAGATTACTTAAAAAGTAATGCCGTTTTTTTTAAAAAATATTATCAGTTATCGAATTAAACATAATAAGTAATCACACAAGAAAAATTTCCCTCCCAACACCCACCCTATCTCTCTCTTTCTCCAATTAAGTTAAACTGAATGAGTGGACTGGGTGCAGTAAAATAAAAAAAAAATAAAAAAAACGGAAAAATCCTAAAAAATGAAACATCAGGGTTTTCAACAGTTTTTGTCTTCTTCTTTTGGCGACCCCGAAAGCAGTGAGTGGCTACTTTTCTTTGGCAGCCCGGCATTCGGAATACGCTGATTTAAGAAATAACAAATAAATCTTTATCAAATTAATGAATTTACATATACAATATTGCTTCAGACTTAAACTAAAAATTAAAAATAATTTTCTTAAGGGGATAATCCTAGTCGAAGGTGACGTTAAAAGAAATCTCGCGTCTTATTTTTTACAGCCGAAGCAAACATATTCTAGTCCTTCAAAGGCATATTTAAAAAAAAACGTTGTGATTGCAAAACAATTTATAATCCAAATTGCACCTATGGCTTATAATAAATATATCTATTGATCATTAATTAATTTATTTAAAATCATTAAAACATTGAAATAAAATAATTGATTAAGTATAGTTGTTTTTACAAACAATATTTGTTTTATTTCGTTTTCTCGCCGAAAATTCATAACCAGTCGAAATGTCGCACAGCGCGAGATTGTCGTTTGCAAATTAATCGATTGTTTATCCATCGCTGGGGACGCCACCGGGTGCAGATTCCATTCGTATATCCCAAAACGGCTCCCAGGAAAGGAACGCTAAAACAGCATCCTGACAACAAATTATGGTAACTCTTAAAAACAACACTTGTTATTTAACACCAAAAGCTTGTAGGCTTTTATTTGTTTTATTTAAGAAACTTTATGGTGGTTGCTATAGGCGAGTATAGGGTAGTTGGCTAGCAGTTATGTTTGTTGTGACAGCAAAACAACACAAATTAGTCATAATAATAATACAAACGACACAGAACACCCCAAAACACAATTTAGACATGATCATTCATGACATTGCCAAGTGGTATGGTACAATTGTAAATAAGTAGCATATATAATATATTATATAGCTTGTATAGTAATACAGGCCTATACTATACTTATTCTCTTATTAAAAATATTTTATTAGTTATAGTAATAGTAAAGTTGGGTTGTTTATGATCTAAAACTATTATCCATCTGTGATATAGCCTACAATAATATACATATTCTAGTAAGGCCTGGATTAAATTTATAAAACAAATAAATATTAATTATTATCACAATGCTAATTACAAGGCAGGTTAAATAATGGTTGATTTCAAAATACAAGTGTCAGGCATTACGTAAACATTATTTAACTTGGTAGGCCTATATGTTGTAAACTGGTTTAAACTGTACATAAGTTTCTAAAAATAATAACCATCTTCTTACTTTTAATTCATCTGTAAGTTATTTTAGTATTTTTTTGTCTATGACAAAATGTACATGTCTAGTATTAATTCAGTCCTCTGTGTTCACTATTGGTTGAGGCACTAGAGAAATATTGGAAGAAATATGTTCATCTACAATATTCACACATTTGGATCTCAACAGAGGATTTTGGCAGACACGCATTCAAGAAGAAGCTATACCCTAAGCTGTATTTGCAACAAACGAAGGTTTGTTTGAATGGACAGTTATGCCATTTGGACTTGTCACTTCCAAAGCTATATTCTCCAGGTCATGAGAATCATGTTCACTGGAATGTAAAATGTAGTACATTTCATTTATGATATCCGTACACATATAAAAGACATCAAAACACATCTGGAAACTTAAAAGAAGGTGCTTGAAAAGCTAAGAGCACAGGTTGTGACTAGTGCGCCCCATAAACTGTATTTTGCAAAAGACCAGATAGATTTCTTAGGATTCAAAATAGGAAAAAAGACAATTCAACCAACAGAATTGAATAAACAGAAAATACTAAATACAAAAACCCCAAAGAACCAGAAAGAAGTAAAAGTTATTTTAGGTCTATGTTACTTTTATAGTGGTCTAAATACCAAAGTTTATTGACATCACTAAGCAATGAAGAAACCAGTTAACACACGTAAAAAAAACAAAATAATTTGGACAGATGATTGTGAAACAACTTTGAAAAATATTAAATAAATATTTCAGAGTGATAGCATTCTAAAACCACCTGATTTTAGTAAACTTTTAACACTAGTAACAGATGCATCCAAAAATGGAATAGGAGCTTGCCTTATGCTAGAGGGGAATAACAAAATGAGACCAAACACCTGATTTGTCTTGATGATATTTGCATCGATTTCTTTAATGTTAAGTAAATCATAAGTAAATTTCTTTTGATTGGTGGAGTTCAGAAATAACTATCTTAACTAAAATACCTTTGTAAAATAAATTATATTCAACTATGACTATAACATATAATCAAGAACTTGTTAATTTTGAAAGATAAGAGCACATCTAGGTGCTAGGCCTACATTATATTAATGCATTAGTAGTTATTTTTACTTTGTTCAGTGTTTTTAAAGTAAAGAAAATTATAGTTTTTGTTTCTAATATTTTAGAAATGGATCTTCAATCCACAGCTATGATAACCTAGACTAGATACCTTCAAAAAGTTCTAAAAAATGTCTGGATTTAATACCTCAACCCGTAAAGAAGATATTTCTGTGCGGTTACGAGCCCAGTGAGTAATAAATATTTAACTTAAGTTTCTAAAAAGTATTCTCTCTCTTATATGCCAAGTTATGTAAAAAAAAGATTTTAAGAATTCAAAATTTCTAAAGTAATTATTTGTATTGTACTAAAAATAAAAAGGTGATAGTTTATTTAAATAAAATTAATGTATACTTTTTCTTGTCTTGTCTTTCTAACTAATTTTTTTAAAATGTTGGTTCTAAGAGAATTGATACTGTTATTCTATTCGTATCTTATTATTTTTTAAATTCATTTTTTTTTATAAAAGTGCAAATATGAAAATTAATTTTAAAATATATTAATGCCTGTCCAACCAGAACTGAGTTTTTGTAAGTAGTTTTTTTTTCTTGATGTAAACTTAAATGTTTGCACTACAATGGGGTGTGAGAACATGGGGCAAAAGTTGTATTGGGGCTTCATCAGCATTTCTTAAAATATAATACCCTGAAAACAACCTTTTTATTTAATACAATTTACAAAAAAAATCAATTTTTTTTTTTACTAATTATAAATTGTCTTTCTGCATGTGCAATTAATCAGTGTCATAGTATTCCCCCACATAAATTGTATGCACTGTCCTAGAGGTCTAAGAACCCCAATTTAGGAACCTCTGTGCCAAACTTTTTTTTTCCTTGCATCTTTTTTCAAGGTTAAGTATTTATTTATTAAAAGCTTACACATAATTAATTATTATATCTAACTGAACATTTGGGGATGCATTTAGTGCATAATTTTTAAATATATTAGAAATCCTCTGCACCTAATGCAC